TAAAAATATTTTTAACGAAAATCTGAACCAATTACAGAGTTATTCATAAAGTTTATGATAACTGTAATTACTTCATCTTTGTTTTATATTTGAATAAACAATTTAATTTAATTTGCATAATTTTTTTAGTTGAAAGACAGGAAACTTAGTTGAGTTTGTATTATTTTTATCGTTCAATTCATTGTATATGTGAGTGATCCAGATATTTAAGATATTTAGAAAAAATTTATTAATTTGATTAACAAATTTTAATCAAAATAGCAAAAATCTATTTGATAGCTGTAAGCAAATAATAATTTCTATTTCAACCAAAATCACTTATTTTCATCTAAACGTATAAAATTGTCAATTTTATGAGAATAAATTTAAAATCTCATGAAATATAAAGGAGAGTAATATTTTTCAATTTTCTTTTTTTCTTTCTCTCAAATATTTTCTATTGGGAATTTTCTTGTTATCAAAAAATAATTTTAATATTTGTTTATTTCATTACATACAATAAAATTTTAAAAACTCTATTTCTTCACAAGAAAATTTTTTTCCTTCATATGAAGAAACATTTTGTTCTCCATTTGATGCTGAGTATAAATCTCGATTTTTGAATTTTCTTCTTTCCAAATTTCTTTTTTCCAAATTAGAAGTTTAATTCAAATTTTCAATAGTTTATATATTTTCTCAAACCGTCTTAGATTTTCTCACTTTTTAGGGATTTTCTCTCAAAATATACAAAAATAGTAATACCAATACATGTGTCTAATATACTTTAAAACCATCGTGATAAAATTCAAAAACGAAGAGTTCTTCTCTCCAAATTTTTTTCAAAATCAAAAAAATGAGATAAAAAAATACGTTTGGAAAATTCATGTTTAGCATTTTAGGAATTTTCTCACTTTTCTTCCAAATTGACATCCTTATATGCTTGTCATTTTCGTGACGATAGGTGTCTTTAAGGAATAGCATTGTGTCATCATAGTGTCTTGAGTTTGAATTTTTCGATTTTGAATTTATTTTGTTAATTTTTCGCACAAAAATTCTATTTAAAATCGAAAAGTAAAACGGCAAACATCTAGTATAATACATAAACAATCTATATACTTAAAATAAAAGATAATTATTTTTTTCAATGGTGTCTGAACAAACTGTAAGACACTATTCAAAAATTGAAAGAGTCTTGCGGTTTCAAAAGACACCCACAAAATAGACGATAGGGCAGACACCATTGAAATTTACCCAATTCTATATGATTTTACCCTTTAAAAAATTTAAACATAGAAACTGCGATAGAAAGATTTGCATGATACAATGCTATATAGCATATGATATTATATGTTTATATCAAGTAAATAATGATGCGCTGTCTATCCTATTCAAATAAACATATATTAACATATGCTGATAAATTGTTTTGCATCATGAAAACATTTCTACAGTTAGTATACAAGTCTTGGGTACGGCGGCACTGCGTTCCACCTTACCCAATACTTGTGAATTTGACACTTTACAAAGCCGCCAACCACTTCACTTCACTAACGAACTCACTAATGTAAAAAATAAACGTTCTCACCATCGTTCTCACTAACGACTTCACTAATGTTCTCATAAATTTTCCTCAATATCTTCATCATCAGTGTTAACCCTATTGTAGTCATACTTGAAGCCATAAACTTTCTCTAACTTCTTAACGTACAATTTACATAACTTACCTTCGTCATCGTATGGTTTAATGATATAACTATTTCTATCTTTATACACAGTCAATGAAAAGTCAACTGGTCTCGGATGTATTTGAAAGAACATGTTATGCTCAGGAAGGAAGAATAAATGTTTAAATGTATGTTTGTTATACTGTGGAATTCGAATGAGTTGCTTTTGTTCTGTCATTTACATCCAAATAAAAATTTTCAGTAAAATAAAAAATAAACTTAAAAATTAATGATATCACCACCCTCACACGTATGAAAACATAGCACAAAAATAAATTTAGGTGAAGTGGTGAGATCTCACCTCTTTTTTCACCTGTTTTTTCACCCTGTTGAATTCATTGCTTTATAACTCTCTTCCTTGGTTTCTTTTTAGTTGCTTTCTTCACGTCTGTCTCCAGCTTGACTGTCTTTCTTCTTCGGCCGTAATGATACCAGTTACTTCCACCAATCAATGGGTCAAATGGTCGTTCATAAGGGTTTCCATACATTCCATAGGGACCATACGGAAGAACTACTAGTGGAGAAGAAACATTTTCTTTAGTTCCATCGACTCTATTTAAATGCATTGTTTCACCTTTCATCTGGTCATTAAAGTCTTTTGCGTGTTTTGCAAACTCATCGTCCTTTCCTAAAGCATTTTCTGACTCAGTCGCAACCAAATTGGATGCTTTATTTATGAGCCCTATTTTATTTAATCTTAACTTCTTTGCAACCCAGCCTCCAATCTTTCCTTTATTTGCATCTAATGTCTTCGAAACCCTTCCTCCACTCATTTTATTTACTGCGTCATAAGCTCCAAGTGCTTTTGCTCTAAATGCTAATGCTTTTGTTCCCATTGCGCCTAAAGCTGCCCAAGCTACCATTTACACCATATTAAAATCATCTCTCTTCAATATTATCTCATAAAAGTTCTCGTTACTGGAGAAAGTCAATGAAACATAAGCGTTCTCACGGGCTTCGCCCTCACCGCTTTGCGGTCTATCTAACTTCTTTCTTATATCATCTATACGCTTCAAAATGTCTGAACAATTGCTAACATCTTCTACAACAGTTATTTCATCATGAATGACCTTCAAGAACAAGCTCATTTAATATGCTATTAAAATCATCTCAATAATGAGTCCATCCTTTCCGTCTTTGGGTAGCACAACATCTTTCATTGAAGAAGGTTCGACAAGTCTTATGTTAAACTTACTGACAAAGTTTGTTATACTATAATGCTTCGGCGGCGAATACATATAGTTTGAAAGACATAATATAGATTCTTCAGCAAATTCACTTATACTGGATTTTATAACAATGTTCTCACGAGACCAAATACCACCAATTGACAATCTTGTAAGCAATCCTGCTGAACCTTCTACTGTAAACGTCGATGGTAACATTCCACGAAGGTCATCTATTGACATCGTTGAGTCACTGAATTTAAATATTTTCTTAAAGCAATCGTCATTATCTAACCATGCAATAGCTTTGAAGTTTTCATTCGAATAGACATCTGCTTCATTAAATGTAAATCCTGACTTCTTTGCAGAGACGACTTTAAAATCTATTGAGTTTGTTTCAAAATTATATGCTATGGTAACTTCTGAAGGTAATGGATGTCCTTCCGCAGTAAGTTGTTCTCTCACTACCGTTTGAAGCTTTGTGTTAAAAACTTTCATGTCATCTCCTGTATCTAAGTTCACATACACAGCAACAGGGAAACTATCTTGCTTCTTTGTTTCATCATTATATCTCAAAACATTAAAGTTCTTCAATAATATTGTTCTTCCTGCTGGAATACTTCGAACCTGTCTGATTTCAATAGCTTTCTCACCTCCTACATACTCTACCCAGTGTCTTGGATATTCATAAGTATACTGACTTTCTTGAATTTTGGTTGGTTTCATCATAACATGTTCATAGTATATCTTTATACTCTTGTCAGTTAGACTCGGTGCTATGTTCTGAATATTTCTGACTTGCATTTTTAATGGAGATAAAATGAAGCATTTAATACATGACGTAGATGAAGACATGAATGAAAGCAGTGAAAAGCTCAACAGTTCTCTCATTCTTCCTTTCAGTAAGGACTATGAGTTCTGTTCAAATGGTGTGTATTTCTATTGTGGAAAGATGGGTTCAGGTAAGACATTTAACCTCATTCGTCATATACTCATAACAGAACGTTTAGGAAACGACTCTTACTATGACCAAATCATTATATCAGCAACTTCAGACTCTATGGACTCAACAGCGAAAACATTTATGTCAAAAGTTCAAGCCTCTGTCGTTAAAGTTCCAGACAGTGAACTCATTGAATTTCTTCAACGTTACATTCGACGTAAGAGGAAATATTATGCCATCGTAGAGTTCATACAGTCAGGAATGCAAAAGACTTCTGAGGAGATGGAAAGAATTATTGACAAACACCACTTACGTCAATACTCAGGAGTTTACAATATGAAACGACTTACAAACTACATTCTGTCAAAACTTTCAAAATACCCCTTCAAAAAATATCCTTCAAACACTCTGCTCGTTTGTGACGACTTCGCCGGAAAAGGTTTAGTGTCAAAACCAGACTCACCATTAGCTAACATCATTACTAAAGTCAGACATTACCACTTAACTGTAGCAATACTTATGCAAACATGGAGGTTTTTAGCTTTAAACATAAAACGTCTCATAACTGACTTCGTTCTCTTTCAAGGTTTCTCACGTTATGATATTGAACTCATTTGGAAACAGTCAGGTATAACATTACCTTTTGAAGAAATTTGGGAAGCATATAAGTCTCTCATCTCTCCTCGTTCATACCTTGAGATTCATATCATGACTAATACCATTAAAGTCAAAAATATTCCATGGAACGACCAACATTGTTTTAAAGCTTAACCTTCAATTGACTGATGGTAAACAAATTCCATGCATCTCTGTCGCCATTTCTGTTAATATTTTTGCTGTCATTCATATCATCCACTTCTCCATCCGTTAGCTTTTGAGGATATGTGTTAGAATAGCTGTTCTTAAATGAAGGCTTTTCACCTTTGAGAGCATAAACTCTATAACTTTCTGCATACTTTATGTTTGAACCTCCTGAGCCATCATTGACATAAAATTTTTATAGGCTTCCACCCTTTGTTCATGTTCCTGCTTCTTCCCTTAGCTCTTTTGTTCAGTAGTTCTACATCTTTATACACAGCTCCTGTCTCAGTGAATTCAACAATATTTTCATTCGTTAGCTTTACATTCAAACCCTTGTCGAGTATATTGTTCATTTCATACATATAAAAGGTTTTTATTCTATATGAAATGAGAAGCAAATCCATCTTAGCTGGTGCCGTTAATGTTCCAATTGAACCAACATCAAATGTTGACTCACGAACGACAAACAATATTGTCATAAAGAACTATAGTTCAGAGTGTTTGAAAGAAAAAGAACCAGAACTTAAGTCGGGACCTTCGGTCTTGGAGCATGGCGCCGTGAATTTAAACACAGCTTCAAACGCTAACGCTACATCAGATGTTAAGTTAGAGTATCCACCACTGGACAAATTCTTTCAAGAGAAGCAACGACAATCCTTACACAAATGTTCAAACAAATCCTTCAGATAACGTAGACCATTACCTTCTTCAGTTATACCAAACAATTTTCCTCAAAGACGATAAGAAGCTTTTGACAAATCTTATAAGCAAGAACTAAATAATTCTAACAAAGGAGGACCTTGAAAATGTTATATCACGAATAACAGGGAAACAATGTGTCATTGACTATCTCGACCCTGAAATCGAATGCTGTGGTCAAACGCCACCATTCATGAAAATAGGTAACATCCGCATCATTGAAACACCAGGAACTACAGGAGTTGAGTTTAAGTATAAATATTCGAACGAGTATACAAAACTTTCAACAGAATATAAACTTTGCTTGAAATATGTTTTAGTAAATTAAAGCAATTTGTAATATCTATCCAAAACTTCTTCAACAGTATCGAACTCATCTTCATAATGCAAACCTAATCTTATTGACTTGGTGCAGTTTTCACTAACACAATATAGCGCTTTGCGCTCGGCGCCTTTGACGCCTTTTTCTGTTCTCTTGACTGACATAACTAATTCATTTGTTTCATCAAACAGCAACAACCAAAGTTCATGACCTAATACATAACATTCATACTTTATATTTTTAGCTCTGAGTTCTCTTGTAAGCTGTTGCATTTAATATTTTCTAAAAAGTCAACTTCAACAGTCATTCGCACTGGTGCCTTCAGTTCTACAGGCTCTCCTTGAAAGTCAACAAGTCTGAATTGCATGTCTTTCAAATTATGAGGACTAATGCGAACCCATTTACCTAAATGAGTTGCTATGACAGGAACGTTTGGAATGAACATTGAATTGACTGCATAACAGAAGGATTTATATTCTACTGAACCTTTACTATTAACTCCTGAAATGCCTGTGACATTAGCTATTTTAGACTCAATGTATAAACAATTACCATAACATACGTATGGAACAGATTTCATCTCAATCGTTTTGTCAACACTTTTCAAAGGAAATGTCATATGGTATGCACCCAAAAGAAGTTGTACTCTATGACTCATTCTTGGTATCTTAAACTCCTTCACATAACTGAACTTCAAAACTCCTGCAATAAGTTTAACATTCATTAAGTTTTCTTCGTTATCCTTGTTTATTGTAGTATTTATGAGAGCATTTAACACTCCAGCTAATGTTTCCATCTTATATTCTACATTATTGTGAAATCTTATTTCGTGCTTCTTTCCATCTATTTCAATCTCCATGAAATCTGTTTCATCTGTTATAACGAATGAAGCGATAGTATTGAAGTCAACCATTCTGAATGCAAGCGCCTCATTCTGTAGACCTAAGTTTGTTTGTAGCTTTACTGTCCCGTATTCGTTTGGGTCTGTACTTTGCAAATAGAACAACATTTTATTCTCATTAAAATATGAGTATAGCTGCATATGCGTATGAAGCTGATAGAGCTAAACGTTTATATTTTGGTCAATACTCTCTCACACTTACTGACAAATATATTGTTATCACTGATGGAAATACTGAGAAATACATAACATGGAAGGACTATGAAAAGTTTGACCCTATTTTAACTCCATGTACTATGCCATTCATTGTAAATGGTGAAATCGTCATGAAGAACGACACAACTGTTTATAGGTCTGTATATGAAGCTCTTGAAAGCATTCTTAACTTCAATCCTTCAGGGTTCGATACAAAAACAACTCCTTCGACAATGCCATTCATTGTAAATGGTGAAATTGTGTCAAAAAATAATGAAACAGTGTATAAGTCAGTGTATGAGGCGCTGAACTATATGCTTCATTTCAATCCTTCTGGTTTTGACCCACAAATAACTTCATGTACTATGCCATTCATTGTAAATGGTGAAATCGTCATGAAGAACGACACAACTGTCTCAAAGTCTGTTCGTGATATTTTAGACTACTTGCTTCATTTGGGTCCTACAGGATTTGACCCATATACAACTCAATGTCAAGTACCATTCATAAACGACTCAGCAGAAATAAAACTCAAAACGTCAACAGTAGATGAAGCAATTGCTGACTCATTGACAAAACTTCTTGATATAATAATGAGGTTCAATACATTCAAAACAACATATGAAACCTTTAAGAAAAATTATGACGATTTCTTTAAAATTACATACATCGAGCCTTCTGCTCCTCAAACACCAGACTATGCATGCCTTAAAATAAAGGCTGCACGGACACAAGTTAGAACATTGACTTTTGACGGAGATAATATCGTTAGAGACGTTACACCTGGAGACACATTACTTACGAAAGAATACTTAAAAAGTCATATCAGTGATTTTGTGAAAGTAGAACAAAGTGGAGCAGGTAAGAGTTGGTTAGGGTGGTTGTTTACTTTATTTTCATCAGGTGTAACAACTGCATCTCTTATAACCATGCAAAGTGAGATAGATGCACTCTGGGCTTTTCTTGGTGGCATAGATAGCATGAAGTTTTATGTTGAGTTTGCTAAATTACATGGAAATACAGGAAGTTTCTTTGACGGTCTCAAAAATTTATGGGGTAAAGTAACATATAATACAAAGAAACTAACTAACTGGGCACTCAAACGTAAAAATATGTTCGACGGACTTGCTTACAACCCTCGTCTCGGAATTATTGAACCAATTAATTTACATCCTTTAATGGCAGCAAGAGATTTAGATGAAGGAGGACAAGTGGTTCAAACAATTGTTGAAAATCTACTGAATATATATCCTGAGTTTAAAGAAGTTTTAACAGCAACAAACACAACAATTCGTGAAAACTGTATAGTGTTTAACACTGAAGATAATATTTTAGACTATATGTTCGTTGTTTTAGGTCAGTTAGCTAAGACAATAAAAGAGAAAGGTATTGACTCAGTCATAACAGTTGAAGATGTAATGTTAAGAAAGACTTTTGACTCATTGTTTCAAGAACCAAAAGAAGTAGTTAGTCTTTATGAAGTTTTGAACGCAATGCTGACAAAAATAAATGAAAGTGACACTGGTAACATAAGTGAAGCAAAAGTTGTTGAACTTCTTTCACAAAAAGCAGATAAAAACCACGTTCATTATATAACTTCAGACGAACAGATTATAACGGACTACCATGGATATTTAACACGAAGTGATGAAGCGAAGACAAAAAATGTTAATGAAAGAAGATATAAATACATTCGTGCTAAAGGTTATGACATAAGCTGTACTGTACAGTATGATGTAGCTAAAGCACCAGAAGCATTTGGTTATACCGGTGAAATTTATGCCTCTACTTTCAATGTTAACGGTGTATTAGTTGAACCAAGATTTACATTGAGAGTTAAGGCAAAAATAACTTTTGAAGATGCTATTAAAAGTAAAGCTGACAAAGTTGAACTCGAAGCAATGAACAAAGTTTTGAAATCTCATAAACACAACATCTCCGATATAAATGAACTTCTTCTGAAAGCAGATGTTGACAACAAAGCTGACAAAGAATATGTAGACGATGCAATAGCAAAAGAAGAAGAAAGAGCTAACAATGCTTATGCAACAAAAGAACATACTCATCCTGAACTAGCAGACAAAACATATGTTGACAATAAAATGTCAAGTGAAGTGACAAGAGCTGAAAACGAATATTCTAAAAAGACTCATATACATTATATTAACCAAATACCAAGTCTTAAGGAAACATTAGAGACAAAAGCAGATAAGACTCATACACATACCATTGCAAATATTACAAACTTACAAGAAACCTTAAACAGGAAAAGTGACGTTGGACATACACATACCATTGCAAATATTACAAACTTACAAGAAACCTTAAACAGGAAAAGTGACGTTGGACATACACATTCTATATCTGAAATAACAGACTTAAACGTTAGCCTTGAAAAGAAATCAGATAAAACATATGTCAATGAAATATACCAAAGTTTGATAGGAACAACAAAAAATATTGAAACTATTGTTGGTGACTTTTCTGTCAATGAAGAAAATAAATATTTTAGATGGCAGTTTGTACAGTCCTTAAAAAATGGTACACGGTGTAAACTCATTCCGAAAAATAACAATGAAATGTATGTAAGCTATAAAAAGAATGATGGTACACAAGTTAAAGTTCCATTAGACAACAACTGCTACTTAAACTTATATGGAGACGAACAAAAGAAATATTTAAGAGTTTATGAAATGGCAGATATGACATTGCCTGACCCAGCTCCAGCACCATATTATTATGACTATGGAGATGACGACAGAACACCACATGTAGATGAACAAAAGCTAACATTATATTTAGATTATTATAGATATAAAAGATATAATGCAATAGAAAAAACGAGAATAGTATATTATTATACAGATGACAGAAATAAATATTATAGTCAAGATTTTACCTACCCTGAAAACATAAGATTATATTATAAAAAATATTCTGACACAAACCAGAAGAAACCTGAAATAGTTGCACTATATTTTAAGTTCAAAAGAGACAATCCTATAATATCTCATATGTTTGATTTAATGAACCCAGTAGGTTCTATTTATACATCTATGGAAGCAAGAGGTCCTCAAGTAATGTTTGGTGTTGGTGCATGGGAACAAATAGTCGACAGGTTTTTGTATTGTGCAAACTCTTCAAAGGAAACAGGTGGAAGTAAAACGATTTCAGGTGAAAATTTACCTGCACACAGTCACTACATAGATTTAAGTACATCTCAAGCAGGTTGGCATAAGCATAGATATTGGGATTGGTCAGGAATGACAAAAGGTAAAGGATATGATGTTAAAGACGAGGTTAAGTTTGCTATAAATTGTTACTGGAGTGACACTCAGGGAGAAGGAAACCATACACATTTCGTTTCAGGATATACACAAACAACGGGACAAAGTAAAGAATACATGCCACATTACATGACAGTTTACGCATGGTATAGAGTTCAATGAACGCGCTTGAGCCTAGAATAAAATCTTTAACTTTACATAAATGAGCTTGAAAGAAGTATTCGAACAACATCCATGGAGGTCATTTAAGAAGTTCAATGAAGCTGCAAAGAGTTGGGGATTTACTAACAGAGCTGAAGTGAAAAGGTTCTTTGACAAAAATGTTGTACATCAAACAAAAATAAACCCTTACGACTACTTTTTACCAATTTACTCCAACACTCCTGACGCATACCAATTTGACACTCTCATTCAAAGCAGAAAAGGAGGACATAAACCATTCCTCATCTTCATTAATGTTAACACTCGTAAAGCTTTTGCGTATATAATGAAAAATAAAGGAACTCGTGAAGTGTTAAGAGTTTTACAAAAGTTTGTAGCAGAACATAGCCCAAGTACTTTAACATCAGACCAAGACAGTGCATACCTCAGCAATGAAATCACAGATTTTCTCATTAAGCATAACATAACTCACTACACTACTGAAGACCATAACCATAACATACTCGGTATCATTAACCGCTTCATAAGAACGCTCAGAGATTTAAACCAAGAGCGAGACTTTACCGAAGAAACAATGAAACATTTCATCGAAGTTTACAATTCCTCAACACATTCTACAACAGGGCATACACCAAATTCAATGACACAACAACAAGAAGAAAAGTATATACAAAAGAAACGAAGCCAAACACAAAATATCAGAAATTCAACACAATTTACCCTCATTCCTGGTACAAAAGTTCGTGTAGTTCTTGACGACAAACCGTTGACAAAGAAACGTTTAAGGTTAAGTAGAAACTATTATATCGTAGACTCTACGCAAGGTAATGGATATCTTATAAAAGCTGCTGACGACTCTATTGCGTTTTACCCTCGTCACAAATTAGTCGAAAGTAGTAATGGCAAACTTGCTGAAACCATTGACGAAGCAAAGCGAGGAGTGGTTATTGAAATACTTGGCTACAACATAAACGATGACACTTATAAAGTAAGATATGAAGGAGGCGTTGAAGATGTTATACCATCTAAGAACTTGAGAGAGTCAAAGCCAACACATCTGGGACCATTAGAGCGGGAGTACTGGAAAGACAAAAATAAGCCAGAAAGAATAAGAAAATTCTTCTAAACTTTTTTATTAGATGTAAATCAGACATGAATGAGAACAGTCATGTATTATTAATGGTACCATTTATTTTTGTCATAAATTTACACCAAAAATATATTTTAGGTGAAGAGGTGAGATCTCACCCGTTTTTCTCACCTGTTTTCTCACCCTCACGAATTTTCATGAATTTCCTTAAGATAGAAAAATAAAGTTAGTTTTAAAATTATTTATTTTTTTATTTTGTATAAAAGATATGATTTCAACAATCGGCACAACAACAATTCAAACAACTACAGCACCAAACTCGCTAGTCATGAATCCTACGTCAATGTTGGTAGAGATGAAAAGCTTTATTCCTTCTTCATATACTTTTGAAACAGAAATCCAGAAGATAAAGCAAGAACTTTTAACAAGTAATTTAGACTGTAGTGCGAAAGATGAAACAAATGAACAGTATCTTTATGAAATGGAGGACCTCATCGACCATTTGCCTAAACTACCTGAAATTCAGCAGCAAAAACTAACTATTCCTGAATTCGACGAAATTGAAGTCAAAGCAACTGACTCAGTAGAAATTAAGAAATTCATACGTAAAGTAAATTATGAATTCCTTGGTTTTCATTGCAACCATAAAGTTATGGACAAAGATTGCGACATGGTTTATAAAGATATTTCTGACCTTTACAAATCCGAAGAATTTAAGACATATGATAACTTTGTTTCATTAGTTGCAAAATGTGTATGGCAGATAAGAGATAAAGATAGAAGAGGTAAAGTATGGAATGAACAGATAAAACCAGCAGCTTTTGAGTTAAAGAAAACCATTGACGCCTTAGTTGTTCTAGCTGGTTTTATTTCAATGTATAACGCAAAAACGATGCCGCAATGTTCAAAATGTAAAGCAGCAATAAGAAAATATAACTACTCAGTCAAAGAGATAGAACGTATGAGAAACGACTATGCAGACTTAAAGAAAGAAGCAGCAAACCCAGCAGAAGATAAAATGGATATGTTGACATTTCTTAATAAAAACTATCCAACAGCAGAAGATTTCCTTCTGTCTGACGTCAAGAAGAAATATAAAGAAACCTTCGGCATTGTTAAAACTTTTGATGTACTAAAAGAAGAAATAGAAGCTACGAAATTGTTTAGGATTTCAAATATACATCGTATATTTCATGTAAAACGCTTGTGAAAAAAGAGGTGAAAAAACAGGTGAGATCTCACCTCTTCACCTCAACATTATTTTTATTGAATTCAGCACAAAAATAATGAATTTCATTAGTTATTTTGTATGTAAAGACAGTAATGTCAAACATTGAGTTTGAAACAGTTAGAAAGATAGACAATGACACCAAAGTCGTTAGAATAGGTGATTTAAACGTAAGATACTCAAAGAAATACAATAAATATTCTTTGTCAGACATTATATCTCCATCTGGAAAGAAAACAAACGACTGGGTTAGAAATGCTTCAACTCAGAAAATTTTGACAAGAAATCCTGAGCTTATGATATCAGTAGCATTTCATGGAACAAGAGCATATCTTATAGACAAAAGTCTTATACCAATAGTTTTGTTATGGTTAGACCCAGTTGTTGGATATAACTTCATAACATATGGTTCATTCGATACGGAACGTTGCAGTGAAGGCTTACTTTACATCGTTCAGAAACCGAAGGACTTCAACACAAAAAGATATAAGATAGGAAGGACATATAATATAACTCAAAGATATGACAGTACAGTCAATAGAGTCAAGGTTGTGTTTGTTAATGATATGAGAGCTGCTGAAACAGAACTGCTTGAAGTTTTTGAGAAAATGTATGGTGCTCCACGAAAGGTAAAGAAACGTTTGAAGTAGATGAGATAGATAAAGCTATAAAATTATTTGACGAAGTTGCTGAAAAAATACATGTAAAGCGTTTATTTTTGGTCTTTTGTGAAAGTCAGAAAATAAAGTTAGTTTTATTTTTATTTATTTTTTTATTTTGTATGTAAAGACAGTAATGACAAACATCAGAGAACACAACAACAGTTATAGTCCATGAAGCTATAAATGAAGAATACGAATACATACAGTATAACAAACAGTTACGTCTCATTCGTTCAGTCAAAGATGACATGTACCAAATGCAAAGTATAATGAATGCTCTTCGTTCTACAAAGCAAGCATATCATTGGTTTGAAAACCAACAGACAAAAGAACTTTTAGAAGAATTTCCTCATATGATTGCTTCCCTCGGAAAACCGAGAGAAGAGATTCCGTACGAAAATCGCAAGAATTTGGCTCCTGGTTTGAAAGGTTATTATGTTCATAGACTTTTAGTAAACGCTGTAGCAATGTGGGCTTCACCTCGTTATGCTTGTTATATTTTCATGATGTTAGATGAACTATATAAAGCAGAACGTGGAGAGATGGAAAAGAAACTTCATGCAAAAGATGAAGTCATTGAATCCAAAGACAAAAGCATACAGAAAAGAATACCGCTTCGGTACCAAAAGACAAGGAAAAAGAGTTATAAGTATATGATATATACTGAAGAGTTGGAGAAAGAAGAAGATAAAGATGTGGTTATGTTGCATTTAGTCAGAAGAAACAACAAGAGCTTTTATGACTTAGCTAAAATATATAAATCTGACAGAAACTGGTTCTATCGTGAAAACTTACCGATTTCAATGACACCGAATGAGCAAATAAAGGAAATTGTCAAAAATACTCTTCCTCAAACACACTATGACATCAAAGGTTGCACAATACTTACATTCAAAGAAGACTTAACATTACTGAAGGAAAAAATAACAGAATATTTCGATAACTTCAAAGAGGAAGAATAAAAAAAATCTAAGCTAATTTTATTTTTTTATAAAATTTTATCTCATATGAAAGAACATGAATTTAGAATATTCGGAACTCATGACAGAAGAAGAGAACGAACAACATGTAAAAGATTATGCAAAATTTCTGAAGACATACAAAGCATTTAAACAATATCTAAATGCTTCTAAAGATTATGCAAAATTTCTGAAGGTATATAAAGCTTATGAAAAAGCGTATGAAAAGTTTATACATTGGGGAATTGTTGTAAAATATCGATATGAAGACTAACCAAAAATATATTTTTGCTTAAATAGCTTCAGGGTCTATTTCTTCAACCATTTCACTTCCTTCGTCAATGTCAATAGAAGCTTCTTCAACCTTTGGTAAGAATTTCTGTATAACATCTTTGTTCGTTATTGTCTTCAGAGATGAAGGATAATATTTCACATTTGTTTCACCCTTCTTATATTCTTTCTGTTCGGAAAGATTTAAAGCAATACTGAAGAAGTCAATTAGAGTTCTTTATGACAGTATAATGAGTATCTTTGACATTCACGAAGAAACTCTTTTGTTTCAAAACTACTGCTAACTCTTGTGAAGTATAACGTTTGCGGTCAATGACGATAGCTAATGGTCTGACATACTGACCAAACTTAGATTCTTTCACAAACTTCTTGTTAAAGATAACATTAACATTTGAAGCATTATTGAACTCATTCTTGATGGCAGTAGCGAGAGCATTGTATGAAAAGAACTTGCAATCTTGCATGTGTTTCATTAAAATAAAAATATTAAATTATTTTGAAAAATAACTTAAAAAAATCTAATCTAATTTTTTCAAAAAATATTTTTTTATTTCCTACTAAAGATGTATCGGAAGTTGTCTAAGTTAGAACACTCGGAAATAAAACAACTTCTTACAGAAGCTAACATAGATGTTGCAAAACATTACGCAACAAACAAAAAAGCACTCGCTGACATTAAAGACTATAATGGTGCAATAAGTTATGATAGAATTCATGAGTTCATAAAGCCGCAACGCGGCGAGGACGAAGTCCATGCAAGAGCATTTCCTTTAAATGACGTTGCTATTGACTTATATCATAGACGTTCAGTACCTCATGAAGTAAGAAGAGAAATGTTTGACATAACAAATGCAAACGTTGGTGAAACAAGAAGAAGAGACGACACACTGAAACAACAGAGAAGAGAGATGTTTAAGAGCGCTATAGAACAAGTTCGCAAAGCTAACGATGTCATTCGTTCCATTGACGACAAACCAAAAGAAGGTGAGAGATGGTTAAAGAAAGATGAAGAGAATAGGAAGAGAAATGTGAAGTCAGGCAATAGACTCATTGACTTTAACATCGAAGCTTTAGATGAACCAAACAGAGACTACTTACACAAACATTTCGGTAAGGTTTTCATGAGACTCTTAGAGAAATTAAAATAAACTCACAACAGAGATGGATGGTATGTTATAAACTTGGTGGAAAGTATGAATGTTCTACGTTAAACCTCAATAATATTGGAACATTACTACATCAGCTCTTGAAGGAGAACTTTATATCAGAGATAGAAGCAAATGCTGCAGGTATTGTTGAAATGCACTATGACTTCTTCTTGACAAACATAAAGAATCTTACTGAAATAAAGATGTATGATTTAACAGAATATGAAGGCTTAACGATGTCAGATGTAAAGAAAGGCAAACCAAAAAAGAGACCATATAGAGATGAAAGCACACTGACAAATGACCAGAAAGCCATTTTGGAAGCTCTTAAGCAAACAGGAAACCCAGCACTTATAGAAAGCTTTTGGAAAGATAATGGTGAAAAGAAGTTTTATAAGAAGAGAAGCGGTCAGTTCTGGAAGTATCTTTGCACATTACCTATAAATCTTGAACGCTACCAAATCTTCAATGAACTGAACAAAAGAACTGCAGCACTTATGACAGAAGACAATTGTTTCGTTTATGCTTGCATTCAGGCTGGAGTAGATGGAGAGACTATTGACCACATGAGAGAAGTCATTCGTGTTAGAGACTTTCCTCAAAGTAAAGTACAAGAAATTTCTGACGCAACAGGTATAGCATTTAATGTTACCATTGGTTATTTCAATGACTCAAGACATAATGAAATAAAGAGATACATACCAAAAGAATGTGAAACTGTTCGAACTATTGACTTACTTCTTGTTGA